GTATTGTTGGTTGGTTGATTTTGTTTAGTATGGGTTATTCAATGCTGAATCTAAATGTTTGTACTTAATTTTAAGGTTTCAGGACAAAGGTGTGTTTTTTAGATATATAGGTTGTAGGCAATAAAATGTATTATTGGTAATTTTACTATAAGAATGTATTTTTATATTTTTGAGTAATGCATTGTCATTTTCCTATAAAAATGTATTGTTGGTCATTTCATTATAAAAATGCACTGTTGATTTTTTTTGTGGGTTTCACTATTTGCTCATAGCTGGGACCCTGATAGATGCTACTACCCTGGGTCAGGGTTGACCTGGGATCAACAACAATTAAGAGATGGTTCCACACTCCTCAAACCCTCCAATTTCTTGATCAGAGGCCTTGCTGCTAGATGTAGCTTATCATCATATGCAGGACACAAAGAAATTTTAAGGTAAAAAAAATATAGTTTTCTAATCATAGAACAATAACATAAACACAGCAAAGGACATTTATCTACATATCATCTGCTTAGGGAATAAGATGATAGAATATTTGATATGTTGTTTGATTTTTTTTTAATCATTTCATTCCAAGCAAGGTGATAAAAGCTACTAAGATGCAAGGGGTTATTGAGAGTGAGAGAAATAGGGAAGACAATAAAAGAACAGTGTTCAAGGAGGCAGAAGATGACAATTGATATCACATTTAAATTGAAGATTGTAGTTGATAGGAAATTGAGAAGCCAGAAGAGAGTTCCACAAGTGAGAAGAAACTGTTAACATAGAACTTATGGTTACAACTAACAATTTCAATAGTGAAATTACAAAACCTAGTACTGTGCTTAAATTTGTAAAGATGAGGTACCAAAGATGAAAGCAATATTTATTTTGAAAATACAAAATGTGGCACAAGGTCAAAAGTGTTGGATAGGGGAAGGCTGGTCTTCAATCTGTCTCCTCTTAAACTTATCTAGCCACAAATACTGACCCAAACATACCACAGTATTCTTTACACCAAAACAACACATTCTTAATTACCATTCTTACTACAGTCACCATAATGCCTCAAAGTCTCTATGAACTAAAGAGGAAAGCTTATTAGAACAGTTATCATGAAAATATTTATAGAGAAAGCACAAGGAAGCGATGTTACAGTGGGAGAAAGTAAGTTGTTTACTACAAACAGAATTTAAAATGCTAGATTTTCAAGTCTTTTTTGTATATTTTTCATTGGCAGCTCCATGAATAAGGTCTTGTTCCAATAAGTCAACAAATATATGAAATATGAAAACTATCTACATATCATCTGCTTAGGAAATAAGATGATAGAATATTTGATATGGTGTTTGATTTTTTTTTTAATCATTTCATTCCAAGCAAGGTGATAAAAGCTACTAAGATGCAAGGGGTTATTGAGAGTGAGAGAAATAGGGAAGATAATAAAAGAATTTGTTTCAAATATGATTTATGCTTTCAATACAGTACCCAACATGTGAATAACAAATTAGAAATACCTCAATCAAACAACTACAAAAATTTAAATATCTAAAAATTGTTTTAACTGAGGACACAAATATGACACTAAAATCTGAAGGTGCATTGAGATAGCAAAAGATGCCTTCCAAAAGCTAAGCAAAGTATTCTACAAAATGAACTGAACATGTGAGCAATGACAAAGTTTTAGAGAGAAAGGAAACACAAAGGACATGTATATACTTAACATCAAAAAAAGACAATTGAAATTTTTAGGGGATATAATGAGAAAAGAGAACTTAGAGACTTTAACATTCACAAGACACAGTGAGGGATAGAGGAAAGCATCAAATAACCTACCTAACAAGATTGTGTAATTGGTTGGCAGAACAGGGATTAGGAGAGATAGCAAAAAGACAAAATTTACTAAGAGTTACAAAGGACAGGAAATTGTGGCGAGCCATGTTTGCCCATGTCCTAAAGGAAAACGAAACATAGAAGAACAACAACAACTATCCCTTCAGCTAAATAAACAATTAAAATTGTGTGTGTGTGCAAACACTTGTAATTTTACATTAGGTCTTGGTCAGAGACAAGATTTCAGGTTCTTATGGCGTGTGGAGAAATTATTTGTAGTCATATGTTATGTGTTTCAGAAATTGTTTAGGTGTTTTACAAAAATTGCTGAATTTCTTCTTATGAAGACACTTTTGTACAGCATAAAATAGACTAGATACAGAAAAGATTTCCTACTGACTTTTACTCAGATTGTTACCTCTGGCTGCTACTAAGACAGACTCTGATTACTTGATATATTGTCCTTTTATTTATATCTAGCAGAGTAATAGACACAAAATGAATGTTAATATTTAACAGAAAAATTCTCAGCTCAATTGTGTTACTTGAAGAGCATAGACCTTATAATTTACTAGAAATGCTTAAAACTGAATCTTTGCTGATTAATAATTTCATGTGTTTTAGATGCTTGGCAATTTATATCTTCATAAAGATATATTATTAATAATTTTTAATAGACTTTTTTTATTTTGTCTGGAACTAATGTTTCTGCTATAATTTGAGTGTTTAATTTGTTTGTTTTACAAAATCTCAATTTATACAGATTTTTAGAATTTTACTTTCCGAAAACTACAAGCTGAAATTATCCAACTTGGGTAAAAATCATTCTAAATTTGTCTTTATAATTATTTTTGTTACATCTGTGTGAGTTTTTATCTATCTTTTCTTAGAGAAAATAAATTTACATATTTTTTTAAAAATACAAACAAGTTACATTTGTATTTTAAAAAAGGCAGTTCTTTCGATTTATTAGGTCAAGTGATAAGTAATTTTGATTTTTGTTATCAAATTTATTCTTCAAAAAATAAAGTACAATTACATTTTATTCAATTATATATTCACAATTTTTACAATGACCTGTTGCTAAATATCAGGCAGATACATTTTCAGTAAAATTCTGCAGGTGTTGATGTGAAAAGATTTTCTGCCAACACTTGAATTCAGTTTTTATTAGAGAAAGCTATACCCATGAAAGCTTTTGCAGTGATCGAAAAATGTAAGGTTTATCTTGTTTCCTTTTTACAATTGGGTTTCCGTTTCCTTTGAACGTTTGCACCTGAACTCTGAATTTTTATTCACTATTTATTTCATTTTATTTATTTTTTTCTCTCTTCGGCCAATAGGAGCAGATAGATTCACCTGTCATTCAGTTGACACTCTTCAGTCTTTCAAACAGGAGTAGAGTTTTATCATCTCTTGTTTCCTGTTTAAGATTGGGTTTCCAGTTCCTACTAAAGTCTACTATACTCCTAATGCTTATCCTTTCCTATGCTAATATAACTCCACACAGTAACACTCTACCTTGAGTGGCTCTTGAACCTTGTATTGGGTGAACATTAGTAAAAAAATAAAAATTGGTTGGTGCAAGGCTTGGTAAAGATGGCATATGTGGTAGAATAGAACAACCAAGATCCAAAATATTGTTCTGTGTTTTTTTCCCCATATGTGGCCAGGTGGTATCATGGAGTAGAACAATATTATTCCCATTGATGAACACAGGGTGCTTATCTACTGGACTTTTATGGACACATTGCAGCTGCTAAACATATGTGTATTTAGCGTTTCATTGTATTTTAAGAAATCTAAGTGAATAATAAATACCCTAATGATCATATCACATGACAACATGAATTTTCTTCCATGGAGCTCATTTTTTAGGGTTGGTTGTGGAGATTTACTTTGCGTTGAACATTGTTATATGTTAGTGTATGCCAAATTGATTCTTAACTACTATGTATGATTAGTAGTTAAGATGTTACATTTGTCATTACAATCACTTCCCCAAAACAGAAATTACCTATGACTAATAGTATTGGTACGGCACAATCTTTCCAGACTGAAATCATTCATTAATACATGTTTTTGTACTTGTAATTTCTGTGCTAAACATATTGTGTAAATACCTTTCTTTATCGCTGTCTATTCAACCTTTTTATCTGGTGGCTGAAATGTTGGTGGGCTTGCTTGGTGGCTGAAAAAGTTAAGCTTAGTCTGTCACAGGACCATGAGACAAGGATCAAAATAAATCCATTAGTTGGATTAAGGCCAATGCAAGTGTCTTGTGGGTCTCTGCTGAATCTATGATATAGTGCCCCATCTCTAATATATCTCAATTTTCATAAGGTAATATTCATATAAAATACAAATTTTATTGTAACCAAATTAACACTAATGGATCATATAGGTGAACAATTCAACTAAAAAAAAAAAATGAAAATAAATACAATATATCTAAATACTAATTAGAGACATGTTATAATAGATTTTTCCATATTAAATAAATCAACAATGTTTAGCAACAATTTTTAATGTCAACTTGAGATTTTTCTTGTTAAAAAGTTGAATAATTTTAAAACATTCATCATTATGGATAAAAAATAGTGAATTTTATATAGTGTTTTTTAGACTGAGCATGAGCAAAACTAATTCACAGATTTGGATGAAAAAAAAGGACCCCAGAAGGATGTCAAGATTTGCAAAAATTTGTCTTCCTTTAATAGTCAAAGTGCTGATAGATAGTAATAGTTACAAAGCACTGACTTGGGCCCCCAATCAATCTGGGGGAGGGGGGAGTAGTATGCATGGGACCTATTTGGAAGACTAGTGCTAAAACCACAGCTTTATAGCAAGAATCCACTAAATCAATATTCAAGTCAAAACCAGTAATTTTATATACTGAATCTAATTTAAGTAGGTTTGATTGATTGATTCATTTTCTATGGTTTATCAACTCTTTGCAGGTTATTTAAAGCCAGAAAATATTTTTTGATTATAAGAATTTTTATTTTGGAGATAATAATGGCTTAGTGATAGAAGTCTTACTAATTAACCCATAGATGGATTCATACCTTTCCCAAGTGTATTTGCATGCAAGTGAATATAATGAACCCAACGGGAATTGGAACTTGGCTCTCCGATTAATAATTCTGAGTCATTATCCATTACACCACCCACACATCCAAGCTTAAAGCACTTGATATTCCCAAGCGGTCACACCTCTAGTTACTGATCAGGCTTGACATTGCTTAACTTTGGTGATCGTATGGGAACCGGTGTTTTAAACATGATGTGGTCGTAAGCCAAATAATTTAAGTAGGCATTGGAGGGTTGGTACTACATCATCTTCTTCCACTTTTAGCAGTACTTGTAAAATCTGTAATATCTACAGGGTATATTTATCTATGGATCTGTTATACTTATTATCTCATATGAACTAAATCTATGTGTAGTGTATATACATAGGATATCTGTGTGACTGCATTTTTCTTCAATGTGTAATGATAATAATGATAATAGTACAAAAAAAAACAGAAAAAATGGAGATGACGAGAGCATGCAATTCTCAAAAGAGAAAAAGATAAAAGGCTTGTCAGTAATAGAGTTGGCTGAATAAAGAGAGACCAATGAGAAATAAAGAAAAAAGTGAATAGCAAAGATATGGGTCATTGTTTAAAAATTCTGAAATAGGGCAACATGACGTGATAGCCTATTCAGACCAATTTCTACATAAATTTATTCATTGTAATACATATTTATTGAAATATACAAGTCCTGAGTTATTATTTCAGTTTAATTTATATTAAATATATATTATATTTTGAAAGGGACAAAATGGGAAAAAATATTTTTGCAATGTGTTTTGTTACTTTAGGAAGTTCAAAGACAAAATGTAGAGATTTATTAAGAGAGAATGAACTCATACACAGACAAAATATCACTAACAAAATGACGTAATGTGCTTAAATTTAAAATTGAGAACATTCAAAACTCTTCATAAAACTTTCAATGCTATGGAAAGGAAATTTTTTTTCTTTTTTGTTAAAGAAAGGAAAATTATTCTTAATAAATTTCTACAACCTGCCTTTGATGAAGTTCCTGAAAGATAAGTTTTCTTATTTTTATCAATTTCAATTTATTAACTTTCAGATACATTCAATTTATAAACATAAAAATAACATTTTTTAAAATGTCTTTTTTATCTTTACACATAAAAAATATATTTTTATTTTATTCACCACTTAGCAATTTTTAAAAATTGGTACTCATTTATTAATAATGCTCATTTGATTTATTCTTTTCATGTTTTCCAAGTGCATATTAAAAATGTATTAAAAAGCTCTTTTAAAAGAATTTAAAATAGAGAACTCTTATCTACATAAGAAAAGGAATATACAAATAGTATATTTCCAAAGAAACAAGGGATTTATTTTTAATCTGACAGCTTCATTGTTTCAAGTGAAGTGCACATTTTCATTGTTAATTTTTCTCGTGTGCACAGGCCATTAGACATAATACATTGTTTAAAATAAAAAAAACAAAGCATCTATTTCCAACATCTTTATCAACTATAAATAACATTTGAAGTAAAATATATATATTAAAAATAATATTTCATACACATGTATATTTATCAGTTACTGCATATTATATACAGACAACTCAACAAAGTCTTTTAAAGAAAAATATGTAATTTCCAGCAGGATTTGAACCTGCATCCCTCTGGGCGTAGGGGAACCATCATTAGATCCAACATGCCTTAACTGATTCAGTCATAAAGAAGCGTTGTCAATAAAGCAAGATCTGAACAGTTCCTTTAAGTGAAATCTTTCTTATCATGTCTTATTTTAACAAGACTGAAGAACTAACCAAAATGCTGTAGAATAAAGATTAAACTCTAAATGATCTATCATATATTGTAAGATGTGATTTCTTGAATAGTTTTTCTTTGTAATTGTATCCTATTAAATTTGCTGAATGCCCTTCAGATAATTTCTTTTTTTTTACTAAATTCCATTCAACACAAGGCTTGAGAGCCACTCAAGATAGAGGGCTACTGTTAAAATGGTTATGGTGATTGAGGTGAGAGATATGAATGAAAGAGGCAGTAAGAAGTAGAGATTATAAAGATGAGGAGGAAAGAGAATGATTGACACTTGATTTGAGGAGGAAAGAGAATGATTGACACTTGACTTCAGGGAAGCAACCACATGGGAGTATGTTCCAAAATGTAACAGCTCTTTGGAAAAGGTGTGGAATTTTCTTACTTTAGGAACATGAAGGAAATGTGGGTGATTCAAATCTGTGGAAGTAGCATAGTGTGTCTTAGTTGTAAAGGTCTGAATTGGTGGAACTAGAGAATGGAGTGCTCATCTGAACATTTTCCATGGAAATAGTGATAGGGTAGCAACAGGAGAGGATAAAAGTAATTCTTAAAAGTATATTGTAGTTTTTTTTTATAAGGTACATTTTGATTTAGAAAAACATCATGCTTTCATGTTACAAGGTCGGTCTGCATTGTACAGGGTGTCCCAGGAGTCACATTGGGATTTAAAACTCTAGTAATTTCAAAATTTTTTTATTATTCAAAAATATTTTTATACAGAATGAAAATTCAAATTCTGGAAATGATTTCTTTTTAATCATAAAAAAATGATATGATGCCAATATCTTCCAATTTCTACATCACAGTGTCTCTAACATTTAATAACTCAGGCTGCAATCTTTGAATTTCTGTACAGATATTATCCTTGAGTTGCTAAACTGTCTATATTTTCTTGATGCATATACTCTCCTTAAGGTATCCCCAAAGAAAATAGATGTCAGATCAGGAGAACATAGTGGCCATAAAATTTCTGAATTTCAGGATTCAAATTAATATTTAGCAACCACTGGAAAAAAAAAAATGAAAAAAAAAAGGAGAATCCATCCACAAATCAGGACTACACATGAAAAAAAATTAATCTCCATATTTGATGCTACATAAATTTTGCCTAGTTGTTTTTGTTTAGCAGCATATCAACCCCTATGGATTATTTAATGTTGAATTTAAATATTTTGTTTGCAATTTTATAGCTATAACTACAGGTATTTTTTGTATAATTTTATACTTCCAGGGTAAATGCATGTTTTATAGGAGGACAAAAATGGTTCTCTATGATGATTAAAGGGTAGCAGTTTCATTTTGGAGGTCTTTCCCCAGTTAACAACTGAGTTATTTACAACTTTTAAATAGTGGTTTATTTATTTATTTGAATTGTGGCTTTTCTATTAATATATCATCATCGTTGTCGTCAGTTATTCTTTGTTCCCAAATATTTAATGTTCTGTTACACTCATTCTTTTTCAATTTCCATGTCTTTTGTGCTTGGCAAGACTGATCCTTGCATGGAATATTTGTCCATTCAGATTACACCACCTAGTTGGATTTGTTGAAGCTTCTGTTTTTGATATTTGCCCTCTGTTTCTACATTGTTTTTGTTTTAAAAAAAAAAAAGAAAAGAAAAAGATTTTGGGCTGTCAAAGTAGTTTGATGCCAGAGTAGACAATGTTTTGTTAGTTTATCCCAGTATTACAGGTTGATATTACTCTTCTTAGTCTCATTCATTAATCCTTATAGCAACACATAACCCAACATACACTTAATGCAAAGGAAGGATCATCTTTAATTTTTCTAGAATCACATATAAATTTCCACCTGTTCTAACCTCCACAGCTTACACCTGCTATGCCACTCACATTGTAGCAGACCATCCTTATTCCCTTTGTATTCCACTGCTGAGATATAATTTTTGCTCAAGCAACTTCTTTCCACAAGTTGTTGCTTTGGGGAAGTGACTCCCAAGAAAATGCTTCCCTGATCACGACAATCTTAACCTGTTCAAGTCTATGATTAACCATTATCTTTTCTATATTATTTTCATAAACTGTGCCTCTTACTCTGTAACCCTCTACCTCGAGTGGCACTCGGGCCTTGTACAGGGTGAACATCATTGTATAAAAAAAACAACAAAAAAAAACAATATTTAATGAATAAAATATTCTTTTTCTTTGCTATTTTTTTCTATTCACAGTTATATTTTTCAATGCCTTGACTATATATGAGTTATGACAAGTATGTTTTGTTGTTTTTTTGGTTGAGAATATGGCTTTGGTCTTTATTGCTATTGAATAGTGTACAGATTTTTATATGAAACATCTCATTTGAAACAGTCCCTTGATAATATACAGGATGATCTGTCTCTTCCATATCTTAAAACCACTGTGGAAGTCCTCTTCCTGAAGGCCATAATGCATGTACAGGCTTTCTGTGAGGATGACCTGATGCTAGGGTTGCACATGATGAATCAGTTGATAATTTAATTGCTCTCCGGTGCCTAACAAATCGTGGGCATTATCTAGCACTTTCGCCAAGAAAGTTTCAAAATAATATTAAGCCCAAGCCCCACAGGCCATCCCCTCAGACAGTACTTCTCCTTTGAGAGGGTGCTGGGATCATTACCTGAGGCATCCCCTAAAGGGAAAATGCTGAGGAAGCTTGAACAATTTTTCCACAATATTGCTGTTAAAGCCACTTTAAACATTGACCTTGTGTCACATTTGGTAATGATGTCAATGCACTGAAAAATCCACTTAATAATGGAAGGAGGACTTTGTTTTTAAATATGCAATAAAAGTGGGGGGTCTGAAAATCATATAAAGGGATAAATATGTGCAAAATTAACAAATGAGGTGGTCTTAATACATTAAAAAGGTTGGGGGATTTGCTAAAAATAAAATAAAAAAAATGAACGCATCCCCATCTGTTAGGTTCCAGTACACTCAATAAAGATTGACAAAAAGATGAAAAAAATGACATGGAAAACTATGAGAATATTATTGGAATTCATTCTATGTCTCATATAACTGATGTTAAGTTAATGATGAAATTTAAGTAATATAATAAACAACGATAAAAAAGTATGAAAACTGATTAATCAGCAAAAAAAATAAAAATAAATAAAATGTTCACCTGATTAATTGGCAAATGCACATATGCACAATTATCAGTCAAGCAATCAGTACAACTCATATATATATATATATATATATATATATATATACATACACAGGAGGTGCAAAAGAAGGGATACAGTAACGAAAAACAAATTGTATTGATTATATAAACACATCAATACTGGTATAATACTTACTGTATACCTACTTTTGAAGACCCCTATATAAATATATAGAAATAAACAGATAGATAACTATTATTACTATATATATATATATATCATATTTAATGGAGACATATTTGAG